GTATAAATAAGTATTTATATTTGTGTACAAGCTGTTTAGATTGTCAAAAAGGCTGTGTTTTTAGGTTTATTAACAAAGTTCGTGTACTCAGACCAGTAATATTTGGGGTCACAAGTTTTTGCCATGGATATTTTGTGAGTCAGAAGATAAAAAGTYTGGGAACCACTGCCCTAGATAACACYTTGGCCACCCCTTGCAAAAACGTCTAGCTCCGCCCCTGTGCAGTTCAGAATAACTAACCAGATAAATGAGATTTGTGTAAACATTTGTCCATAAAGACACCATCTAGCCATCCTGGTAACTAAAACAGCACATACTCTTTATTCTCTATACTTAGATCAACGTTTTCTAAAATGTTTGTCTTTAGAAATTTTGCTTTATAATGTTAATAGTTTCTTTTTAAATTAGTCATATTTCTTTGCAGGTTGTTGAAGCAACGGTAAATCCCTTCGGATTTTGTGAAACTTGGGTTCCCCCCCTTTTTGAGCACAATGCTGGAATTCCAGAAAACCAAGTTTTTAAACTGTCACTGTCATAAATAAAACCAGCTTGTTGTCAGAGTAGGCGATAAATCACCAAATTTCAACAATGTAACGTTTTGAAGGTTTCAACATGACAAATTGGAAAATAATAATAACTCTATTATGAAAAATTCCATTTTGTGTCTCATTCGGACAGTAAGGGTCATTAATTTTGAGGTGACGCTTTCATTAATTCTTTAGGTTTGTGTTGCAGCGTATTATTGAAAACTGCTTCATGTATTTTCTGTTTTTTAGTTTTGATGCATTGTTTGTTTTATTCTCTGTGCAGACTACCGTTCCCGTGGCTCTTGTGGTCCCTCTTCAGGGGTCTGAGTCCAGTGCAGGTCAGCTCCAACGGCCTCTTYTGTGCCATTGTGCTCCTCTTCATCATGCTCCTCTTCGTCATCATCTCCATCGCCGCATGCAAGTGGCGCATGAGCAAGCTCCTGGGCTTCATCATGTTCATGCTGTACTTCGTCTTCCTGGTGGTCAGCGTCATGCTGGAGGACAGGGTGATCACCTGTCCGGTGTCCATCTGAGGGGCTCGTTCCGTCATCGCCACCGATACCGACAACCTGTACTGTCTGCCCCTCGCCCTCGCCTGACCCTTGGGATCCTTCGCAACGGGAATAACTCAAAACGGAAGGAAACTGCATTTGCAATTTTAAAAAATACGGAAACTTTCCGTGCTGCCAGGAAACTGGCGTTGACAGGAAAGTCAACAAAAGTTCAGCGTGGAAGGTTTTATATCAACCTAAACTGATTGAATTTTTACTTGTTTTAGTTTTGCTGGCAGGTGAGGACAGTAGAGTTGGTGGGCGTACGTGGAAAATAGAAGTATTATGCATGCCGTTAGTTTCACTGGGGGAGCTAAAGTCAGGTCCAGATGTTATAAAAAAAGGACAAAGAAAGAAACAAGAGTTGCACATTGTATGAACTAACCAACGCAGTGACAGATCCTGAATGGTGAGCTTGAGCCTAACAAACTGAAACACCATTGTCAAGAATGAAAATGGATGTAGATGATTTTTKTTTTCCAAATGGGTTTCCTCCATGATGGTATCAAGACTCTTTCTTTTTGTTTTATTCATCTCTGAGGCAGGCTAACTGGGCAGAAATATTTTCTTTTTTTCTTTTTGCAAATCCATCTGTGCTTCAGTCTGAACGGCAATTTCGCTCCGTTTCCTGCCAGTTATTATTTTACACAATATGTTTTCTTTGAAGTCTTTTATTTTTGGGATCCCTTTCTATTAGATATTAGAATTAGCAGTAGAAATAACAGTATTAGKTAATGAACACACTGTACAGAACTGTCTATGCTTCACTTGTACTAATAGAGGTAAAAAAGAAAAAAGAAAAAGAAAGGCGAGTATAAAAGCCTAACGCTCAAAATAAACAGTAGCCTTCGATATCTCGCACCAGTCGGGAAGAAATGCATGAGTACTTAGGCTAATTAAAGTTCCATAACTAAGTCAATGTCAAAAATAATACATGAAAAACTTTACAGTGTTTAAGCGTCATGGTTTGACTTAGATTAGTCGATGTGTAGAGCTGCGTTCACAGTAGAAGTTGGCTCAAATCACTGTCTAGTTAGGCTGTGGGGATACAAGTTACAAAGCATTAAATGCATGAAAAAGAAAAAAAAGATCCTCAACAAGGAATAAAAACCTATTAATCAGTTATATACACAAAAATATCAACTTTTCTCCATCCCATTTCATTACTTTCCAAGGCAAGCCACTGCACAATCTCTGTAGGAAACTAACACAATCGATTGAAGATAGCTAGCATAATCTATTTTTTTCTAACCCAAGGTGCTTTTWGAGAGCATGTGCAATCTGTATTTAGAGACAAAGACCATTAAATGTACCCGATGGTGGGCACAGGTAATGAAAACATTAGCTTCGCTAACTCAAAATCTAACAAAAATATAGGTTTAGTAACTGTAAACCTGTAAAAAATAATAAATTAGCTGAAGTGAATGCTAACAAGTAAAAATAACTTAAAGGTAACACTAACAGCTAACGGCTAAATGCTAAGACCACTGTCACTCAGTCTGCGTCACGTCTTTGTCTCCTTTGACCGGAAGACTGATGGGACTGGTTTTTCTAACGTTAGTTAGCTGTTAGCGGACTTAAAGTTGGGCGGACTTAAAGTTGGGAAAACCTAATTTAGTGGAAGTTAATTGGTCACCTAACAATTTTCAAAGTTAGTGAAGAAGYTAATCCACTAAACCAAAAATTCATTCCACAGTTGGCTATTAGTTAGCGGGACCAAGCTTACCACAGAATTTTTCCATAGTGGCAAGTGACATGTATACACACCAGTTCGTGTATAATCGCATGCTAAAATCCAGTTTTACTACTTCCTCTTCCTTTGTACCCCTATTAAGTAATGTCAATAACTGATCCTTCATATTAAGATTTTTCAGCAGAYTATAAAATGAAGTGCAAATCACTTTGGTTTCTATGGTAAAAATATTTTTATTGGCACAAGAACAACGGTAAGGTCTGGTTTGATACTAATGGATTTTGTTTGGCATTAACCTTTAAATAACATAATGTTGCATGACACCATTAGACATTATTGTCACTGTTTCAGTGGTTATCTTGACATCATGGCCAATGTTAAGAAGCATAAAAAATATGGTTGTATAGAAAGAAGTCTGTTGCAGGCTTAATAATTGCGCATTTGACATTGAGACTGTTTTTGTTAAAGGAATCAGCGTCAACTGATGGTTTATGTGATTTGGCCAAAGTCTCTCTCTAAGATACAAAGGATGTGTTAATTACTCACCTAATAGCAATACACCAAGCGTCGTCCTCGAGAATCCCATCCTTCATGTCTCTGGTCGTCCTTTTTCGTCCAGTTGAGAACTCCAGGACGTAAAGCGGGCAACTGGTTCTCCGGAAACGGAGAGCCGTTTTCTGTTTGAGCTGCTTTACCTCGACACACAGCCTCTGTACAGCAGCATTGTAGGAGTTACCTGTAAAMTATTAGTAAATAAACAAATTCTCTGAATGTGTGAGGAAACGTTGCATGCGAGGAACTTGGGCTGGATACCCACGAACTGTACAGCAGAGCTTAGACCAACTGTATGATGCTACGTTGACTTTTATGCACCCGTTCACAGAGAAACACCAAGAAATCATTGGCTTTATTTTTTGTAAATATATAGACTCTTTTGCTTTTTAGCAGCAACCAAATGTTTATAATGTGTATAATCCTTTTTTTTTTTCTTTTGGAATTGTGGATTTAAAAAATGACATTTATGCTGATGACCCTTTAGTAGCGTAGCATTTTAGCACCTGGTTAGCATAGATCAACTGTCTGTTCAAGTGAGGGCTTGAAAACAATAGTTCAGATCACTGAAGTGGGGTTCTGTGAGACATTTGAGAATAATTAATRTCTTACCTGTTGTAAACAGCACTTTGAACAACCTAATTTTGGAGAAATACTGGTGGATTTTGACCAGATTCATAAGCTAACGGCTAACGGCAGGACTCAGACCAAAGTGGATTGCTGCCATCGTTAAACAACTCTAAACTCAAAAGTTTCATTGCGGTTCATGTTAAAGCCTTTTTTTATTTATTTTGTAAACTTTTACATTGTAACGTACAAAGTTATTTATAAAATAACTGTTTACTTGCTAATGAAATTAGCAGCTGCTGTAGCACTTCCTGCATAGCTTGGGGAACTTCCAGCAGGAATATCATCATCATTCTGCCAAAATAAAGGCTTATCAAATAGTTTTCACATAAAACAGTGAACTTTGGTCTTTAACCTCACTTGCACTAGCCATTAACTAAAATTATACTCCTAATGGATGTTTTTCCAGCAGCTATCTACAACAAATAAAGCATTAATTGTTCAACACATTTCTACAGAACCACACTTCAAAATGTCTGAAACACCCCTTTAAATACCACATTGCCTCCTTTAATTCCACGAAGTTATAGTGCCACTGATGTTTCTGACATTTCACAACAGGAGAAAAAAAACCTTTGCATCCTATTACCTGTTCTGAGTGGTGTGTTCTCGTGTTATTATTTTTACTTTATCACCATCCAGATTGAAGGTGTCCGTTTATTCGCTCTGAGATGACTCACGATGTGCTTCGTGAAAAATTTTCACGTGCACGTTTTGCCATTAAAACCTTTTCCTCGGAGCACGCGCACGCTCCGGTTAATGCGATCTCACCTCAGCTCTAGTTTCTTCTCACCCCGTCTTCAAAAGAATATAAATGACATGTTCCTGCTATGATGAGGTGAAGACTATTTTTATGCCTGTGCAGAATACGGCAGACTAGACAGGACTAGTTATTGGGGAAAAAATAAGATTTTTTGCCTACTATTCGTGTCATCTGCGCTAAGTCGAAAGTGTAAAAAGCTTAAAATATTTTAACTTTAAAGTTCAAGAAAATATTTATTTACTAAATTATCTCTCTAATAAAATAAGACTTTTGAATGTAATAAATCTCCCCCACCCCATCTCTAATTAAATTCCCAAAGCTCCTTGCTGCACCTTATTTATTTTTAAGCGTGACCATAAATGAAGAGAAAATCTATGATAAAAAATATCCGATTGGTTCGGCACATGCGCTTTGGTACTGGTTGTGTTTTCACCAAGTGAAACTAACCACGAATGAAAATCCTTGCACTGTAAATGTTTTATTTTCTTGGTGTTAATCAAAGATTTATTTAAGATGTACATACAATGTAAACAGATACAAATTATCCATATAATCTATATGTGTAAAAGAAATATGTCTCTTTATGTAAAAACACAAAGTATATAATAATGATGAAAACAAATAAAGACACTAATTCAAATATGCAAAAAATGTGTCTGGTTGTCTTTTTTTTTACTGTAGCACGGATGCATTAACAGGAAAGAAATAAGAAAAAAATTAAGGTCAAGTCAACAAAGGTCAAGTAACTGGTGCTGTATATATTGATTTTCATAAAGCGTTTGACACAGTTGATCATTATGCTCTCTTACAAAAGTTGATGTCTTTTCAACTTTCATCATCTGCAATACAAATGTTTTCCTCTTATTTGACTGATAGGTGTCAGGTTGTGAAACATGGAAGCTCTGTGTCCGGGTCTCTGCCCTGTTCCGTGGGAGTTCCGCAGGGTAGCATACTGGGCCCATTGCTTTTCCTATTATACATAAATGACCTTCCAAAAATATTGAAGTATTCACATATTTTAATGTATGCTGATGATACTGTTCTTTTTTTGTCTGATTTCAATATTGAATCTATTAATAGTCAGTTACAAGCAGATCTTCAGACATTTCGTGGTTGGCTTCAAGATAATCTTTTGTCAATTAATGTCAAAAAAACTGTGTGCATGTATTTTTCCTCACCCAGGAGACATTTCAATATAACAAATCAACTCACTTTTTCAAAGAAACCCCTTGATATTGTCACTACCTACAATTATCTTTGAATTACTTTGATTCTCATTTGACTTATCGTGATCATGTACAAGTCTTAACCACTAAGTTGCAACAGAAATTATACGTTTATTCAAAAATTAGATCCAATCTGACATC